GGGCGGGAGAGGGAAGGAGGGGCGAGGGCGAGGACCAGGGTCTGCAGGGCGGGGACGTTTCGGCTGCGCTGCCGCGGCGCTGGCGCCAAAACCGGACTCCGCCCACTTCCTCGCTCTGGGGGTGGGTATCTCCCGGTGCCGGGAGGTGGATGGTGAAGTGGGTGCGGGATAGGGAACGACGAAGGGTGCCCTTCGGCCCCCGAGACTGGACCCCGCAGATCCTCCTGGCCAGGGTCAGGTTGGCGGAGCGCGCAGTGTAACGTGCTGGCTAGAAGTGGCTTCGGGTGTACCCGGAAGGGGCCGAGTCAGCCCTCGGCGCCGGGGGAAGCGAGGGGGGAAGGGGAAGAGCTGCGGGGAGGCGACGCAGATTTCCCCGGGGCAGCAGGCCAGGAGGGAGCCCTGTCCAAGGCTGTGCTGAGGGAGGGGGCCTCGGGGCTGCGGATTCAGCTCCACCCGACAGTTTTAGTCTCCAAGGGCGCGACCGTTTCTCACCTGCCCTGCGCTCTGGCGGGGGCTCAACCCGGTTCCAGCGGGGGAACTGCGCCGCCGCGAGCCTCCGGCAATTCACGGAGCCGGCTTACGCCAGTGACGCCCCGCGCTCCCCGGGGCGGGGAGGAGGGCGGAGTACACCTTCGGCGTAAGGAGGGCGTGGAGGGTTCCCGCCATTGGCGGCAGTTAGGGCGTTCACGCAGCGCCCTGACGTAGGGACGCGTCGGTGGGAGGGAAGGTTCTAGAAAAGCGCGGCCGCGGCTGGAGCGGCATTAGCAGCGGCGCCGGCTCAGCGTGCGGACGTGCCTCTAGCCTTGTTGTTTCTCCAGCGGCGGCAGTTCTCACTACAGCGCCAGGACGAGTCCGGTTCGCGTGCGACCGCGGAGATCTCTCTCATCTCGCTCGGCTGCGGGAAATCGGGCTGAAGCGACTGAGTCCGCGATGGAGGTAACGGGTTTGAAATCAATGAGTTCTTGGAGAGGGCATGGCGCGGCCGTTGGCGCCTTTGTGGAAGCCGGCCCCTCCCGTCTCGCGGGAGAGCGGCCGCGGAACTGGGCCACTCCAGAAGCGGTTGGTCCCTGGACACGGCCGCAGAGGAGCCCTTGGCCGAGGCCTGTGTGTGCAGCACGTTCCCCACCCTTCAGCCTCCCGGCGCCATTTCCCTTGGCTGGGGGTGGGGGATGGGGATCGCCCACATGGCGGACGCAGCCTCGCTTTAGGGAAAGTGGGGCGTGGAGGCGGGAGGTGCTCCGACCCCTCCCCCTCCCCCGGGAACCGGATTTGGCGGCCGCCATTTTCATTCCTCTCCGTCCTCGCCGCGTTTTTCTTTTTAACTGTCCGAATGCTACTATGTGGCCTTCCTTACCAAAGAATGGAAGTGGGCCACTGTTTTCCTTCCTCCCCGGGCCGGTTTCGTGCGGTTTTGAGGCGCGTGCCGAGTGTTTTGGGCGCCCGGCTCTGTGAAAGTGCTGCGCACCTCGTTAGAGGCGCGCTCCCTTCCTCTCGATGAAATGGCGCCATTGCGTTCAGAGCCACAGCGAAGGGCGGGCGGGGGCGGGGGGGCTGCTGGTCGCACCGCTGGAGAGCCTCGCGGTAAAGCGTTGAGCCCTGTTTTAAGGCGACCCAAAGCGCAAAGGGGACGTTTTGTTTTGCAGTGCTTATTTCTCTGAGTAACGGTTTTTTTTCCCTGGTCTGCGGTGACTAAAAAGTCAGTTTTGCAACCAACTTTACAATTAGAAATGAAACCAAAATTAGGACCCATCAGATTAGTGCCCGTTATGGGTAGCTGTGGGGAAGGTTATAGCTGGGGGCGTATTCATTTTTGAAAACTTTTTTTTCCTGAAGGCCTCCCTTTGAATTGTATTTTTCGTAGTCTAAAATATATTTGTACCTGTAAAATTATTTACTGGTTAAGACCATTCATTATTGTAAGTAATCGGAAGTGAAATAGAAATGATTATCCTTCAGACTTTTTAAAAAACACGGCTCAGTCCTTCAATGCGTGTATTGCTGTAGATAGGTTTTTGGCTGTGCCACTATGTGTTTGAACTTTGTCACTTGCGTTTTTCATTTATGTTTGCAATCATGGTTGATCATTACATTGATAAGTATGAGGTCTCAAGCGAAGCGGGGGGAGGTCTACCTGGGCATTTTCTTTGACCCTATGCTCCCTTGTAAAGTAAATTTGTAATCGATAGTGGACATCGGGTAAGTTTGGAGAAAACTGAGGTAAGTAACAAGCTTTTGTTAATGATTTGAAAAAATTGTATATGCACTTTTTTAATCTCAGTAATTTACTTGGGGTTTAAAACACGTATTTTTCTGACAATACAGTGTTTAGCAAGTAAAATCAGCTTTAAGAATTCATATACCAATATGCAAAGTAATCACTTTAATATATTAACATTTAAATGTATTAGGAGCTAATTTGATAATTGGTTAATCTTGAAATTTTTTTCAGATTCCTGAAAGCAGTTAACAGTAAAAAAAAAATGTCTGACTTGCTTATCAGTGTATTTTTTGTTAATGGGAGAATGTCACGCGCTCAGGGAGAAGTCTGCATGTAACTGGGTTGAGTTATAATGCTATTTGGGAATAAAATTTCCTGTTGTATCGAAAGTCACATTAATTTGATCTTTTAGTTTATATTGCACATTCATAGCAGTTGGTCATGGACAGCAGAACTAATTTTTTAAAAAATGTATTCACTTGAAAACCAAATGACCTGCAATCCATACTTTTCAGCTCCAAATTCAGGACTGATAAAAACAGCTATTTGCTTGCTGGTTTTGGGGATTAAGAGATTTCATCCCAGGCTTTTATCCTTTTTGCTTGTAAAATTATAGAAACTCATGTTGTATAGCTTGTCAGATGTCCAATAATAAGTTCAATATGCTTGAGCTTTCTGTGTGTTTTTTTCCCCCCAGTGGTAGTAGTCAACAGTGCTCATTTAAATATTTTTATGTTAAAATTTTAGAAAAGTGAAGTTATTACAGTGAATGTATTTTACTGACTCAATAATGGCTGTTAGCCCTATATTCAGCTTGTTTCTGAATTGTCGATTTAAATTCCAGAAATTGGAGTGCCCACGAAATCATGGTTATTACCTTTTAAGATATAAACAATCTTTAGTTGGTCATGAAAATCAGTCTGTGTTGGTCAGAGAGTGAATTTTAAGGATATTTTGCTACATATATTGAACATTTAAATTTTTACCCCAATCAAAAGTAGTTGGTAAATGGGGAAAGGATTTTTTCTTATTGCAATACATTAAGTCCCCACTAGAGGGAGCAAATGAAAAAAAGAAACACTTAAAACTAAATCCTAAATGGTAAAAACTGAGTATTTAATGTTAAATTCTGTTCTAGGATATAGGGTTGAATGCAAATTCTGATGAGAATTGCTTAACTCTTCAATGACCAGGGACTAGATTTGCTCCTTTCTCTTCAGAAAGTATTTTAAGTGATACTGAATGTATGAGAATTAATGTCAAGTAAGTTTAAATGAAGCATATGACTTTGAAACGTGTAGTACCTCTGACAATTTTTTGGTGTAACACAACTAAATATACAGTTTAACATATGGTTTAAATTTGATGTAAGTTTTTTTTTTCCCTCCAGAAAACTTTAGAAACTGTTCCTTTGGAGAGGAAAAAGGTACTCTGCCAGCAGGTCACCTTATATTTAAGAATTTAAATTCCTGCATACAAAGAGAAAATGTAAATAAAAATTGAAATGGTGTTTTCCTTTGCAGAGAGAAAAGGAACAGTTCCGTAAACTCTTTATTGGTGGCTTGAGCTTTGAAACCACAGAAGAAAGTTTGAGGAACTACTATGAGCAATGGGGGAAACTTACAGACTGTGTGGTACGTTCAATGCATAAAATTGCCTTTACATACTAGTCCTTCAACTTGGGTTGATTTGTTTAACCCTTTGAGTGCCAACCAATATCCTAGGAACTATGCTAAAATTGCCAAGGCATTTTTGCTGATTTTACAGCAGTTTAGGATAAAAATTATGATAGCGCTCCCGGCACTTCTGGCGAAAGTCAGGAGCAGCGCGATCACCCTCTCCGGCACTCTAGGGGTTAAAATACTGAGTGAATCCTGCAGAAAATAACTTAAATCTAGGTTCTTAATTTAAAAATGCTCTTAATTGAACAGATAACTAGATCAAATGCTGGTTTCCCTTTGGTTTTAAAGGTAATGAGAGATCCTGCAAGCAAAAGATCAAGAGGATTTGGTTTTGTAACTTTTTCATCCATGGCTGAGGTTGATGCCGCCATGGCTGCAAGACCTCATTCAATTGATGGAAGAGTGGTTGAGCCAAAACGTGCTGTTGCAAGAGAGGTGAGCATAGCATAACTTTGTGCAATAAACGTGAAGAAAATTTTGTCCTACCGAAGATAAAATGTAAATTTTGAAAGAACTTAATTCTTTTTATCCAGCTCAATTTAAGCTATGGTGGTTTCCCTGGAGTAGCTTATTTCCTAAAGACGAGTTTCTTACTCATAAGCTGTTGCTTTACCTGGTATTTTATCATAGGATAGAAACAATTTATGGTAGTATCCAGAGATGCTTTCAATCATGTTTAGTTTCTGTGGTCATGAATTGACTCCCCCTACCTTCTACTACAGGAATCTGGAAAGCCAGGGGCTCATGTAACTGTGAAGAAGCTGTTTGTTGGTGGGATTAAAGAAGATACTGAGGAACATCATCTTAGAGATTACTTTGAAGAATATGGAAAAATTGATACCATTGAGATAATTACTGATAGGCAGTCTGGAAAGAAGAGAGGTTTTGGATTTGTTACTTTTGATGACCATGATCCTGTGGATAAGATTGTGTGTAAGTGTATAAGATTGTGTATAAGCACTAGATGTATACCCCTTTTATAGATTAAGTTTTGGATATGTTAATATCTATATCTTTATTAAAAGGCAAACTTTAAAGTAAGTTATAAGTTATAGTTTATAGAATGCTGATTTATTTAAGTTTGAATTTTCCCTTCCAGTGCAGAAATACCATACCATCAATGGTCATAATGCAGAAGTAAGAAAGGCTTTGTCTAGACAAGAAATGCAGGAAGTTCAAAGTTCTAGAAGTGGAAGAGGAGGTACCTTTTAGTTACATTTTTTTCTTTTGAAGATTTCTTCGTGTAAGTGCTTGTTACTAATTAGGGCACTTATTGTAGGCAACTTTGGTTTTGGAGACTCTCGAGGTGGTGGTGGAAATTTTGGACCAGGACCAGGAAGTAACTTTAGAGGAGGATCTGGTAAGTTTTAAGTTCTAAATATTGAAGGGTGAATATGCTTGATTGGAAAACTGCGACTCATATTTGATTAGAATAATGAAATCAGCTTAATTTTAAGATGATATTCTTAACTTTTTATAAGTAGATGGGATATTCTGATTTGGCTAGGTAAGAGGTAGTAGTTCAGACATAATCTTAAAGCTAATAAAGGACAATTACGGAAATCCCTTTTGTGGTCTTTAAGAACATTTAAAATGGCTTTAGAACCACCTTAAAAAACTACCAAATAACCCTGAATAGTGAGTGGAAATATCACAGAAACTTTACCTGTGGGCTTAAAAACGTTTATATCTTTGTTAATTGTTTTTTTATTTAGACTTCAAGTAATTATCTGAATAAAATAATGCGGACCCCATTAAATGTCATTCTTGTGTAAATAAATGGAACCTCTTAAATTGAGGTTTGCCAAGTCCAAGCCTGCAAATCGGGCAGTTATCTTGACAGTGAGGTTTAATGAATTACACTTTGGTGTGTTTATTTTGAGGAATAAAGTACTGATACTAATGTTCAGCATAAAGGGAGATGGTTCCTAATCATCCGTAGGTAATAATAGAGAATATGAAGAAAAGGAAGATAAACTGAATAGGGTATATTAATCATAATTTTTTTCCCCCCTAACAGATGGCTATGGAAGTGGTCGTGGATTTGGGGATGGCTATAATGGGTATGGAGGAGGGCCTGGAGGTCAGTTTCTTAAACATCTTGATTTATGGGGCTTAAAAAGATTAAATCATGCTGTGTGTCCAGTTTAATATATACATGAGGTTTTCCTATGTCTTCCATTTTACCTTTGATGGCGGTTTTAGTCATTTGGTTTTTCCTGTAATTCACACCTTAGCTTTTGTATAGCTGAAGGAAAGAGTATACTAGTGGTATAAGGTGCAAGATCATTTGGGTGAATTTTAAATGAGAATTTAAGGATGCCATCCTGTTTCTCAAGCAAAAGAATTGGACATAGATGTGATACTTTATGTATTGATTCCCTGAAAAAGTATAGGACATTAGATACGACCATTATCAACATGTAAGGGGAATATATGTAATAGCAATTATGTTGCTTTAATTCTTAATAAGATTAGTCCCCCAGGATAACTTCCCAAATGTCACCAAAGGAACATTTCCAAAATACACAAGGGTGCTGTTTGCTTCAGCTAAGGTTATGAGCCACTGTTACATATCAAGTGATACATTAGATGTTTTACTGGAATACAGAAAAGGTTGATAGCTGCTGGCAAATTCCTAGTAAAGACATCTCAAAATGAGCTAGCAAAAGACCGATTTTGTCACAAATTACACATAACTAAATTATACCTACATATTTCCAACTTTGCTTTGAAATCCAAATTAATTGTCCATCAGTTTGCTAATTTCTGATACCCCCCATTTCTACTCAGGTGAAGGGTGTAGTGAGCATATTATTAGGAAACACGAATCTGAGTTGGGAACTTTGAATCTTTTGGACCACTTAAGGTGATGGGGGTGGCTCTTGTTTTATTAGCTTACACCTCATCTACCCTTAGAAACATTAACACAAAATACAAGGTATCTTAAAGAGAACCATTAATACCTTTAATTTCAGGGAAGAGCAGTGACACTAATAGGTATTTGTCTCTAACGGTTTTGTCAAGTTGGTTGTGGGTGTGTACTTCCCATCCCCAGATGTTTAACAGGGATACTTTGTTCTGCCCTTGAGGCTGTTCTAGAAGAGATTTCATAGAATAAATATATTACTTAGAAAAACATGTTTTGGAAAGCTGGAAATGGGTTTGATAAGACAGTTCAAATGGCATTGAAAATATTAAGTAATTACTTAAAGGCTTATTTTATAATAGGTGGCAATTTTGGAGGTAGCCCTGGTTATGGAGGAGGAAGAGGAGGATATGGTGGTGGAGGACCTGGATATGGCAACCAGGGTGGGGGCTACGGAGGTGGTTATGACAACTATGGAGGAGGTAATAAATTCACCTGCAACCTTTATGTGGGAATTTGAAGTGGAATTAATGACTTTTCTTTCATTTCAATGTTGTCAATAGTTGACTTAAAATTGTAGAATTATAGATAGGTGTTTTGCATTTATTCTGATTTGCTTTTTTGGGAGATTTGTTGTAAATACTTGGCATGTATCACTGTTTAATGTTTGTTAATTCTGAGGGTTATTATGCACAACTTGAATTTAAACTTTTTTTACAGGAAATTACGGAAGTGGAAATTACAATGATTTTGGAAATTATAACCAGCAACCATCTAACTATGGTCCAATGAAGAGTGGAAATTTTGGTGGTAGCAGGAACATGGGGGGACCATATGGTGGAGGTAATTTGTTACATTCTTTAAGTCATTTTGTGGGGTTAAAGAGAAGGATTAGTCTGACATGATTTGAATGGCAAAGATAACATGCTCATGGTTTATAGCGGGGGGTGGGGAATTTTTTTCTGCCAAGAGCCATTAGGATATTTATAACATTTGAGGACAATACAAAATTATCAACTTAAATAGTAGCCTGCTATATTTGGCCAAACATTCAGTTTACTCCCCTAATGCCTTGCAGGGCCAGATCAAATGATTTTGAGGGTTGGAAGTTCCCCACCCCTGGTTTAAAAGGCCACTGAAATTCCCAGAAATAATTTAGTTGTAATTTCAGCTTGGATTTGGTGTGATGGATGGTGGGATGTTAAGTAGCATAAAATACAGGGTGGGGCAAAAGGAGGTTTACAATTCATAGGGAAAATGATACAGTAATTAATACAAGAATAAATACTGTTTAATGTACTCAACAACTGTAACCCTACTTGTACTCCACCCTGTATTTACAAGTTGGGAAAGTAGGTTTTCTGCCAATGGCTCTTGGCAGAAAAAAATTCCCCACCCCCCGCTATAAACCATGAGCATGTTATCTTTGCCATTCATATTTTGTGTGGGGGGGTTGTTTTTTTTCCCTTGGCTGATTATATGGGAGCCAAATAAAATTGCCAAGCACATAGCTAAGTGTTTTAAATTTGTATGAGTTGTCTCTTAAATGTTAACTTAGTAAGTTAATCATAAATCTTTATTCAAGTTTTTATGTAGCAGGGCCAAATAGATTTCTTATACCTCTCAGTATTTTTTTAAATACAGCTTCCTTACTGGCTCCAAATGATAACCCTCTAAAAGAGTAGGTTCAGTCATACCTGGATAATTTACTTTGGAGATAATTAGAAACAATGGGTTCTGACATGCTTTAAAGCCCATATATAAATACAAGGTAGAATTAATTATTATGCTGATTATGGGAAATGAAGTAAGTTTCCTTTGTCCTGTTCTAGGAAACTATGGTCCCGGAGGAAGTGGAGGAAGTGGGGGCTATGGAGGGAGAAGCCGATATTGAGCTTCTTCCTATTTGCCATGGGTAAGTAGCTTTTGAGTTTTACATTATTACTGTCTTGGGGAGACCTAGCTGTCAGGAGTAAAAGCTTTTTAGGATCATGTTATCTTTCCTTAAAACCTGGGTAGATGGATAATTTCATAACCTATTTTTTTTTTACTCTTTACTTCTGTTGAAACAGGCTTCACTGTATAAATAGGAGAGGATGAGAGCCCAGAGGTAACAGAACAGCTTCAGGTTATCGAATAACAATGTTAAGGAAACTCTTATCTCAGTCATGCATAAGTATGCAGTGATATGGCAGAAGACACCAGAGCAGATGCAGAGAGCCATTTTGTGAATGGATTGGATTATTTAATAACATTACCTTACTGTGGAGGAAGGATTGTAAAAAAAATGCCTTTGAGACAGTTTCTTAGCTTTTTAATTGTTGTTTATTTCTAGTGGTCTTTGTAAGAGTGTAGAAGCATTCCTTCTTTGATAATGTTAAATTTGTAAGTTTCAGGTGACATGTGAAACCTTTTTTAAGATTTTTCTCAAAGTTTTGAAAAGCTAGTAGCCAGGATCATGGTGTAATAAGACATAACGTTTTTCCTTTAAAAAAATTTAAGTGCGTGTGTAGAGTTAAGAAGCTGTTGTACATTTATGATTTAATAAAATAATTCTAAAGGAAATTGTGTAATTATAGACTTTTTATTTTAAATAAGTTAAGGAGTGGGTAGTATAACTAAGGTCCATTGCAAAGCTGTTGTTATATTTGTGTAAGATAAATGCTGGTCAGATATAAGTGTGTTGTCTTATAAGTGCAATTCATCAGGATTAAATTATCTAGATAACTTAAGGGATATCTCTGCAAGGAGAAACACCTTTTTAGATCTTTTAGATGCTGCTTCTTCAATGCAAGGAAAGGAAATAACCCCAGCGAGGTACTCTTCAGGGATACAGGTCTAGTACAAGAAAACTCTTGGCGGCTACTAAGTTCAGCCAGTCTTAAAAAATTGTGCTGTTTCTACAAAGCTTTTAACTACAGTAGTTTATAAGGATGCCAACGAAAGCTGAGGGTGTAGAGCAAATAGTTCTAAGCTTCAGTTAAACTTCTTTAGGTAAGATCTTATTTACTTTTCCTTTCTTAATTTTCCTCCCCAAAAGATAAACTAATACTCTTCAATGGTCTTTCAGTATAGTGGTTCTTAGTAGTTTAACATAGCTATAAATTGAGTTTAACAATTTATAAACTCAAGAGAATAATTTCATAAACCCTGTCTTCCAGTCTGTCATTTAAATTATTTTGGTTGTGTTCTCCCCCCCTCCCCTTTTCTTTCTTTCCCATCCCCCTCTCCCTCTATGAAGATTCAGGTGCTTAACATATCATTTTTTTCCCTGCTGGAATTTTAGCATTGATATGAACCATGGACAAGTATATTCTGCTGCCACAAAGACTGTAAAGTGCTTCATTTCAACAGCTGAGGCAAGCCAAGTGATTAATAAAGCTTTTCTTGGTTCCTTCAGTGGTGTTGGTAGTAAAATGGTAGGTAAAAGTTAGGCTGCAAGCTCAATAAACCATGAAATTTCCCATCCTTAACATCCACGTGTATTCACATTTCTTGGATCAAGCATTTTGAGTGAACTGGGGTTTTTATTAAAACATTTTGCTTTATTCAATAGGGTTCTAGTTTTACATGCTCATCAGGACTAGGCTAAGGAGATAAGTAGGGCTAAATGGTTGAATCAGATAATAGTTTATATTTACAGTGTCTGTCTACATTATGAATCCTGTATGCATTTAATACTAAATACTGGGGTATGAATGTGGTAATTCTTTCCCAATTCCCTATTTTATAGGCAAGATATAGGTTCGCTGCTGAAATTCATTTCTTAAATGTCATCAGAGTTTGATTGCCTGGCTTTATTGCCTTTTCAGGAAAGTGATAATCAGGGCATTTTCTGCTGTATGCACCAGTGAGTCTTCTTTGATCCTAAGACCACCACAGAAGTTATTTAGGTTCTTTGGACAAACATGATAAACTTCTTCAGATACTTTTTTTTTCCTTTGGCAGGAAGGTGTCTTGCTGCAGGTAACTAATGAAGAAGTGGTCAACCACAGAGTCTTCGAGAAATAAGAAATTCTGTACCATCTGAAAGTAGTTGTTGGTGCCTTCATTTTAAAAAGCACTCTTTAAGATTAAAGGCAAATGTTTTCTGATAAAATACAAACTTCATTTAGTATAGGTTCTTAATATAAAACAATTACAAGTTGAGCATTGTTTGTAAAAATAACATCAAATCAGCCAGAGAGAGAAATGTATCATGTTTTAAATTAGGTTTTGTGAGTAGACAGATTAAAGTTCTATTTTAAATATAAAGTTTTATAAAATAAATACTTTTGTATCCAAATATTTGGTGTAATGTTTACACATAAAATGTGTGAATCTTGTTCTATAAACATTCAGTTGTCTAAAGAATTGCCATCCCTTAGGTTTTTAAAGCAGTTTCACAAAACTGTACATATTGCCATTTTTTTCTTATAATAGACATGAGAAAACCATTGTGGACATTATTGGCTGTCCCTAATAAAAATGCCATTCTTTTATACACTATATTCAGCGTTGGAATGCTGCTATAGTTTTCTGGCTTTACCATGTGTGTTCAACGACCCTGGTGCCGTTTTAAAAATGTATTACAGGCTTTTAAACAGAGTGGTCCAAATTAAGTGATTATGCAAAGCACCAAGATACAAAATTTGTCGTTCTAGTTTCTTAAAGTGGTATTGCATTTTACACCGAGTATTGGGTAGCTGTCTTTAAAGGATTTAAGTATTGTGGATGAAATTTAGTGACTTCAATATTTACCTAAAATAACAAAAAGCATAAAAACATGAAATACCAAGGCTGTCTCCTTTTCTTTGGTTTTGATAATATTAAGTATCAGGTAAGTCAAACTAAGGTTGGCTAACAAAAGCTGTTTTTGTTTCAAATAACTATTCAAGTAAACTGTTGAATACTCAGCTTCACATTAGGAAAATAACTTTGAAGGTTTCAGAAGTCTCTAGCTTGACAACTAAGTTGGACTTTGAGGTATAAATGAAGTCAGAAACCTTAAAACACCCAACCCTTAACCAACAGATATGCACTGTTTTGGCTCAGTGGGTAGAGCATCAGACCACAGACTAAAGGGTTACAGGTTCAATTCTGGTCAGAGGGCATGTACCTGGGTTGCAGGCCTGATCCCGGCCCCCACCAGGGCCAAACTACAGGAGGCAATGAGTCATTTCTCCCCTCCCACTCTAAAAATCAATGGGAAAAATACCCTCTGGTGAGGATTTTAAAGTGTTAATACTTAATAAACTAAATGAAGTGGCTATTGAAACAATTTCCCTTCTAAAAGGAAGGTAACTTTGGGGCAGTACTTTAAACCTTTTTCGTCGGCATACCAAAGGTATTGTGGGTAGGACAAAAATAGGCATAAGAGACAATGCTGCACAAAGGCCAATGAACTTGTGATCTCGGTATTGACAAGTTAACGATTTGAAAGCAATTTACCTGATCCTGGTTGAAGGTCAGAATCGCAGTGGTGACAACTGGGAAGTTTCATCCAAATGGTATGACAGGGCTGGCAAGCTGGTTTTGGCTATTTTCCCTCAGCAATCCCAAGAACAAATACCAAAATAGGGCCGATGCTACTAAGTCACACTATTGTGTATTCTGATGGTTGCATAGATAGTTTACTCATGATTACTGAGGAGCAAGCATGATTAGAGGCTGGCTCCCACATGGATCTTTAGATCTTCATGTGAGATTTTCAATAACCCAGTTTGGTTTAGGAATGCAAGTCAAGTTGCCCTCTAAAAATTCTAATAATTAGTATTTGTACTGTTTAATGTTGAAATTCAGTAATTTAGGGAGGCTTTAAAAGAAAGTTCTTTAGTAACAGTTCAAAAGTGGGTGCATCTTTTCAGAGATAACACTAATAGCTAGAGGGTCTTGTTGAGCTCAACATGTTGATTTTATATATACTTAGACCAACATTTCATCTCGGTTGTTGAGGATGTTCAGTAGGACTTTTTGATGGGTACAGGAAGGAAATGAGATGCCAAGCCTGGGATACTCTGCTGGATTTCAGCTATAAACAAATGGGAGTTTTATTATGAGTAATTTCAGGACTAATACTATATTTGAAGGAGGTAATAGCTTTGTTAGAATTTAAAATGGAATTTTGGTTTGGGTCAGTCGACTAAATTGAGAAGAGAAAAATGTTTCAAGGAAAATGCCATAGAAAATGCTTCAAGGAAGCCAAGGGCTAACTGCAAACAGTTGCTTATCTTAGGGGTATAGATCCCATGGGCCACTTAAGGTTTGTTTTTAAATGTCATACCATATGGGAACATTTTCTGCAAACCTTGTTTGGTGGAATTGTTTCTTAGTTCAAAGTCTTAACTGCCGCCTCATGTTAAGATTAACTGGTCTGGTTTAGCTATTAGAGGAGGAATGGGTCAATAGTTTGACCCTTACAATGCACACTTCAATTAGAAGTTGGCCTTTAGAAAGTGATCAGTTCCTGATGTCTGAAGCTGTATAGATTGGATTCCTCTTTCTGATAACTACCCTCAAATTCAGAATAACATGTAGAGACTACTGAACTAGTAAAGCAGTTAAGTCAACCTATGTGTGTTATGTTCCTTAATCTAAAATAGAGAATTCACACTAAAATCTTGGAGATTTCCATTGCTAATACCGGATTGTCAATGACAGTTGAGTAAGCAGTTTCAATTTACCCTGAATCTGATTTTAATTGTGTGGGGTAACGGGAAATTCGAGGTTTGACTTGTTGACCTTAGGTCATAATGAACCAAACTAACTTCAAGAGTGATAGTTTTGTTAAAAAGCTAGCTCCACTACATGCCTCTTTTTTTTTTTTTTTTTTGCCAATTTGATGTCCACCTATATTTTATTGTGGTCGTGGTAGTCCCAGGGATTTGGAGAGTCTGACAGACAATATTTGAATAATAGGATTAACAGTTTTGAAATCTTCACGTAAATCAGTACTGTAGAATCTTAAGTTGTAGATTTGAAATCATTTGTCATAAAGTGCCCTAAATCTGGTTTAAATAACAGACATCTAGAGAGTACTCCTTTGCCAAGCCAGCCTATCAACATTTAATGTGATTATACAAAACTGAAGAGTGATGTATCTAGGAGTATTATTGTGGCAAAATCTAGGGTTTGAAAGAAATGGTTAGGCCCAATTAAAAGTGGAGAAAAGTTTATTATAAAAAATCCACTTATAAAACTGCATTTTTGCAAACCAAGATAATACTTTGACTTTAGATTTTTACATTGTTAGGCAAATCTCATCTGACAACCTTATTTTGAAATAAAACATTAAGTATTCATGTTACTTAGATTTAATTCCATTATTTCTAGGATTAGTGGCTTTTACGTTCAGTCCGTCCACTTGTTTATTTTACTGTCCTGTTTCATGTGGTTTCAGTATTTTCAGTTCTGGTTGTAGTCTCTGCTCATCGACTCTTCCCCTGCCGGTTGGTGTGTTCATGTATGCCTCTAATGTTTTCACATGAATCTGTGAATTTTGTGGTGAGACATGTTATGGATGTGAGGTCATGCCTACAGGCTGCCTTACTTGCCTGGCAGTGACGAGCTATACACTGGTAGCCATGCTCTATTCTGTAAAACCTGTGACTGTAGAGGTCTTTGTTTTCAGCCAGTAAGGCCTAATGCATTTTTTTTTTGACACCATGGTTTATAATTTGGCCATTTATAGTCTTTATTTCACATAGTATTGTTAAGTCCAAGTGGGGATTTCCCTTACTAGTGTAACAGACTATGTTGAGTTCAACATGGATTGAGTCTTAATATGCTGCCCTATTTTGCTAGATATTTACCTGTATTTCTGAATGGGTATTTTGGAGGAAATAATAGCCAAGGTAAATTTGCTTAGGATTTCTGTATATAAGGGAAAAGTTAACTTTTTAAATAAATTCAAGTATAAAATTCATTTCCACAGAGAAAAAGTTATAATTTAAGTATTAATAAAATAGCTTTTGAAAAGTTCATTATACTTCAGTGCTAACTAAATGAGAATGTTAAGGCTACTTTGCACTTCAAGTTAAAAACTAAAATACATTTTAAAATAATTACACCCAGTGTTAATGTTTAAAGTGACCATATTACTAGAAAATGGCTACCAAAGTGAGTAGGTAGTCCTATCAAGTTTTTGTCACCTACTCTGTACATACTTATGAATTGTGCATATAACATAGGAGGACTTCATGGGGAGAAGAGGCTTTCCCAGATTTCCCACGTCTGCTCTCGAAGTCCTAAACTGGTCCATATAAGCTTCAGAATGTAGCCTTAAGTGATTCAAGTAACAGTGCTTAAAAGATGCTTGAGGAAACCTTGAAGCAGTTTCAACGGTTTGTGATCTATTTAGCATTATTACTACTTTATACATATTAATGGAATCAGTCTACTTTCAATTTCTTCTGTCACTTTTTCTCTTTCACTTTTGAGTTTCCTTTTTGTAGCCTGAGGTCACCAGTTCCTTGGGTACAATCAAAACACTTCCGTCATGGCTGCATTGAAGAGCATATTGGTTTGGATTGACGGGCCGACCTTCATCATCTCTTAACCTGCTAAGAATATCATGATAAAGGTCGTGCAGTTTCTGTTTCATGATATTAATGGCTTTGTTACACTGGGCTCGCTCGCTCTTAAGGGTTTCCTTCTTCGCTTGCAAGTTACATACATCATCTTCTAGATTCAAAATTATGTCCAGTTTGCGCTTTCGACAGTTCTGAGCGGCAACTTTATTTTTCCCTCTTCGTCTGATATCACGGATGAGTGACACTTGTAAATCTGTCAGGTAGTACCTGCTTAGCATACTATTGAAAGAATCAACAGGCATGTGGACAATTTCATCTACAGAAAAAGGGATGTGCAGAGCTTTAGCACGGCGTTCATCACGGCTTAAGTTTCTGTCTGTGTCATTCAGGTACCTACTTTTTATTTTCTGTGACTTCCCAGGCCATAAAAAAGACTCAGAAGTGGATTCTGGTACACTTGACTGTAAGTGGTAAGTGTGGTTATGGAATATGTGTTGAAATGCAAGGTCCCCGTGGAAAGTAGAATCACTACTAAGATCAATGTGACGAATCTTACTGGGCTCTGGGTAGTAGCCGCCTACAGCCCCTTCTAAAGCATGGTGGGAAAGAGACTCAAGGTCACTACTAGAACCTATAGCACTGTCACACACACAGGAATTAGGATTGGTGACAGAGGTGCTATTATGGCTTGAATTTAAGGAAAGCCCAGAATCAGAATCGGGTTCTCCAAAAAGGTGAGAAACCTCCATTGCATCAAAACCTTCTGTCGCCAAAGACATTGAATTTATCTCATCAAATATATTTATATCAAGGTCATATAGAAGGTCGTGGCTTGTTAGATTCCTTATCTGATGGTCAACAGGTGGAAGAAATCCTGTTAAATTAGTTCCAGGAAGGGTCTGTGCAGGGTTGGTGGTGTGAGGATTTAACTGCAGAAATGGTTCCTGTGGCTGTGAAGTCCTTCCTACTGGGTCTCTTCTAAATGTATTGTCTGGACATAGCAACATGGCCTCATGGAGATTGACATCATGACTTATAGCCTGGCTAAAATTCACATTGTAGTATGCTGAAGAATTCATGCCATCATTGATACTTCCTGAGAGAAGAGGAATATCTCCCAGGGAGATGCCCTGAAAAAGAGAAAAGAGCACTTTAATACACATAGCTCAATTTCAATAGTTCTAGTACCCAATACACCATTTTCTTTTTTCAGTTTTGTCTGCTGCTCTGTGTAAGTAGGGACATGCTGTTGGCTATAACAACTACGTGCAGTTAAATAATATGGGCAACTCAATACATTGTGTGAATCCAAGTCAAGATATGCTATACTTGGGGAAAGGTTGGTTCTAATACGGCAATTTATAATTAGGTTATAACATTCTAATGTTATACTCTTACTGTATATTTTAGCTGTTGGCAATCTAAATCCACACTGGAGGATCATGGATAATAGCAATAGTGAAGTAGTGCTGGTTGGGGGTGTGTGTGTGTGTCTTTTAAAAAAGATCAGACCAATAAAGTATGATGACACAAATGCTACCAGGAAAATAAAGGTATGGCTTAGTTTGTCAAATGTTTACTGCCATTTTGATTTTATGTGAATTATATAAATTTGATTCAATATGAATTATGCTAATTTGATTAGGCCTTTGCGATTACTTGGAGGAATAGTATTTACATATTTGGCTAATTCCCCAAAGTGTTTATTAAAAAAGTAATCCTGCCCTGGCCAGTTTGGCTTAGTGGATAGAGCCTCAGCCTGCGGGCTCAAGGGTCCCAGGTTAGATTCTGGTCAAGGGCATGTACCTTGGTTGGGAGCACACTCCAGTAGGGAGTGTGCAGGAGGCAGCTGATCGATGTTTCTCATTGACGTTTCTAACTCTCCCTCTCGGTAAAAAATCAATAAAAAATATATCTATATAAAATAAAAGGTAATCCTAAGTCTGTGTGCTCAAATAGTAATAATGCATTAGTTTAAACTATATCATCCAGGTATAAAGGTTCTATTTATTGAGAGGTCAGTGCAGAGATTTCCTGCAAGGATACAAGCCAATCTTCCAGTTACCTCCATTGAATTTTCAGGCTGTGATGAAAGCAACTGAAGTAAGTCTTCCAGAGAGAGAGATGTGTCAGTCTCATTTAGATATCTCTAGAAAAACACAAAAGATGCATCAGTCATTAAAAGGCTGAAGTGGTTGCCTGGGGCTCTAGGTTTTATCTGGAAAGGACAAGATCTTATCTCTGTATTTTTAGCCTGATCTTGCTAAAAATAAGGTTTTAATACCCCTCCTTTAGGTATCAATATTCTCATACCCTTAAATAAGAACCTTTAACTCCTCCCCTATTCCTGCCCTAACCATCTTCATATAGCTTTTGGCTAGAATTGTTCCAACTTACTGTGCCCTTCCACAGCTGACTCTCCAAATCTGCTACAGAATTTTGTGACTTTACAGTCAAGTATGTATTTAGATGTACCAAAATAACCATCTCATTTACTCACCATTGTGTCATCTCCTGCCTTCAAAGTTCCTTCCTTGCTGAAATAGCTCCTTTGATAGCTTTTTAGAGCCTCAAGTAGTAAGTGCTAGTTTTTATAACCTGGAGTTATTTTGTCTTCATCTTTAATTCTATTTGGTGAGATGATCAGGCTTAAGATTTTCCCTCAGTACTTTTGTTCCATGGCATTTATTACTATTGATTTGCTTGCAGTCTGTCATTTTATAGCCAATTTTTTTCCTCAGCTAACTTTAATTTTTTTCTTAATTCTTTCTTGTCCTACCATTCACTTTGATATGTTTGGAATTTTGTATTTAGTCTTCTTGGGACTATATTCCATTAACCGGAGTCAGGATCATTTTAATTTTGGAAATATTTTGCTGGAATCTTCAAAACTGCTTCTCTTTCATGCTTTCTAATCTCTCCTGGGACTACCATAGAGCTCAGCTGTGTTGAGAGCTATTTCTGTAGGAATCGCACATTTCAAGGGCTACCAACTTATCAGGCAGTTTTGTTTTTCTCTGCAAAGACCAGTCTGCATCATTTTCTCAACTTTGCTTTCTTTGCTCAGGGTTCCTGATGGTAATGGTGTGGATCAGACTCTATAGCTGGCTTTGGAGCCCATTTGGGGTTGTTTTCTAAGGGGTAGACAGTTTCCTTGCTCTGTCTCCTAGTCCAGTGGTCGGCAAACTGCGGCTCGTGAGCCACATGCGGTTCTTTGGCCCCTTGAGTGTGGCCACGAAGTTTCAATCGCACTGTACGTGTGCGCTGGCACGTGGTATTTTGTGGAAGAGTCGCACTCAAGGGGCCGCAGTTTGCCGACCACTGTCCTAGTCCCTATTTCCTGAACCAAAGAGCTCATAAGCAGGGAACCCAGGTGCCCCAGGCACAGGCTTGAGGTATATTCCATTCATTTAACCCCACTCTCATGACATCTAGATCCAGTTCCTCCTGGAGGTTCCTCAGCTTGGTGCCCAATTATTTTAAATTGTAGGTTTGAGTCCCTTCTTTGTTTCTTGTATCTGTGGACTTTTACTTTCTTGCTTTTGAGTTCCACTGTGCACTGAAAATGTTGCCTGTTATATTTTATCCAGGATTACTGCTTTTAGTGTGCCATGGCGATTATCATTACAGGTTAGTGAGTTCACATTCCTGACTTGCGCTGTGCATCACTTCTACCCCTAACTTTTTACTTTAGGGTTTTCAGTTTTGAAGATTCACACCAGTTGGTCTGCGGTGTATGTGTGTACAAATACTTCATTTCCTTTCCTACCAAACATCTTGGTTCTATGAAGCCATGTTTTCAAGCTATTTCATTGTAATACAAGGAATAAATGCAAGGCTTTCTATGGATGCTGTAGGAATGTTTAAGCTAAATTGGTGGGTAACATTTCTTGCTCTTTAACTGGCAATTATACATTCTTATTGGGTAGCGGACTTCTTCACCAATTGAATTGTTATTTGAAATGATTCCTAATTTCTGGAGAAATTTTAGAAGTATTCTATTACTTCCGTTGAGGACCCCAAACTTGCTCAGTCCTGGCCAAATGTTTACCAAAATTTGCTGATGGTCACAAGTGTCTGAGAATAGATAACATCAGCATACATCTGGATTCCTGCAAAAACAATCCTTAGTGGTGGGTAAGTAACATTATTTGCAGTAAAGAAAGCCTTAATATTTAGAATACAGAAGTAAGGGTATGAGGATCATTCTGCTTAAAATAAATCATGGACTGACTGACCCCTTCAGGCTAGTCAAAAATGTGTTTCATTAAATATTTTTCCTGTTCCCTCTTCTTCAATGCCCCTGGACACAGTGGGCCAACGTGTTAACCCCTACTGATCCAGCCGTCTGGTTGGGTCCACGGAAGACAGAGGCAAGAGATGGGAGGAGCAACAGAGTACCTTAGAGACAATAGCTCCCACTGATCAATTCCAGCTCTCACTGAGCTCTATGCCTCCCAGGTCCCCTTTTGTCCTGATGGTGGTAATGGTAGTAATGGCTTCATGTTGTTGCAAGTCCCTGGGAGCGGGACTCCCTATTACCTCAGTGTTTCCCTTAAACCTGCCCTCACCTGTTTTTAAAAAAACACAATCCCCTCATTCACTTCAGAATCTCATGGGCATGTGCCTTGTTTCTGAGCCTCAACTGTGCACATCATTCTGTTAGAAACATTTGTTTTCATAGAACTTGGTTAATCCATTTCTAAATCTAATTGCTGAGTTTTTTCTGTTCAGGTGAGTACAGATCTTGCATAAAAATGGACACTCAGCTATTCTTACAATTAATCCAAAAGACATATTACATTAAATTTGATTTAGATTGCCAGGGAGTGGTCAGTCTTCTTAAGACCGACTCCTAGAAATCTTAACATAAAATACAAACATACACTTCTGTTTTGGGTCAAAAAATACATTGCATTTTGAACAGAGATCACTAGGATATTTAAAGAATATGGTGGACACACAACTTTATGACTTATCTTTTAAAAGATGAAACATTACTGTAAACTTCAAATTGTCTTTAGTGAGAAGAAAATCTCTTCAGACCAGCTAACCTACATTTATTGTACTTATTCTTCATTAATAGCCAGCAGTCTAAGTCGGCCTACAGTGGGGCTAGAAAGAGGTCCGGGTTAAGTAGCAAGTCATGTCATTTGTCCTCGTTATCACCCAGGATTGTCACCTGAAGGGAAATAAATACTATTTCAACAAACTGTCAGAGTACCTACTAAGTAACATCTCAGTAAAAGAATTTTGTAAACTGATGCTAACTAAACAAGATATACCCACCAGGCACATGGAGGTGCACAGTGAGGAGCCAAACCTGAACTTAAGGACTGAGGCACAAATGCCTTTCTTTGAGTGATTAATGTGTCTCTGGAAAGTTCTGTCCAAATTGATATTTTCCCTAATTTAAATTGTATTCTCTAAGGAAGCTCCCTACTTGGATCCCTTCATTAGCATGTGAAGAATGCCACTCTGTATCTAGCAGTGAGTCACTTCAGGTAATTCACAGAAGTAAAAAACAGTTCCCGCTCTTCTGGGAAGCTCAGTGAGGGAGCAAAGACAAAGGCACACCCAGGAGAAAAATGAAACAACAGCACAAATCTGTAAAACAATGAACTGATAAGACTGCGATAAAAACATCTTCTCCCTCCAAAAAATAGACTTTGGGACACTCAGGAGTAAAGTGGAAAGTGGGCTGAAATGTGTCCTTTCGAAAAAACGCCTTTCAGCATTTTGTTAATATGAAAGTTCATTGGCACTGATGTGACAATAACTGCTGTGTGTGTGCGGGGGTGGGTGGGGTGGGGTGGCAGGGTAGGGGAGTGCCACACCAAGGGTACATAAATTATGAGGAAATACAGATCTGGGAGAAGACGTGGGTGAAAGCATAGGCAGGAGCAATTACCTCTGCACTTCAAAATGAAATGCAAGCCTGAATGGGGTCTTCACTTAATTGGGAGGGTTCCTTGGAGTGAGCTCCTCACCCCTCTCTCCTTAAGAGGGACAAAAAGGGACCCTAGGAGACCACTTAGAAATGTGGCGAGTGTATTCCCTGCAGTTTGGGAAACACAGTAGATGAGTGTCCAGAGCTTGCCTGAGAAACACAAAGGGCAAGAGGCTGAACAAGGGCCGAGCTTAGGGGAGGGACTGGACTGACAAAGGGGCTGAGGGGCATGTTTCCAAGACCAGCTGCTGGAGAGGGTCACCTGGAGGTGGAGATGCGTCTGTCCTTGTCAAGAGATGGGCAAGAAAGGACTCCCGTTGTGGGGGTCTCCAAAGAACCTATGGAATGAAAGTGCCCTCCCAACAAAAACAGTTTAAACACACCCTATGGTCCAGAGAAACCAGTATCAAATAGTGCCAGTCAAACCCCCTTTCCTGAGCCATTATTATCCCACCACACCCCAGAGAAGGCAGCTTAGGGAGCAAGGGAGGACTGAGGAAACGGACAAATAGGCCACATGCAGGTGTACACACCCACACACACACTTTCCTCCTCGGACAGGCTCAGGCTGCAGCGGATGAGTCCGGAGCCGAGAAGCCGAATTTCTGTTCAATTTTTAGAATTACACTGGATTATATTATTGACCAAATTGCTGCAGTGGGATGATCAGAGAGATTTTTATTATCTGTAAGTCATGGGAACTGCCCAATTTCACTCCAGGTATAGGGAAGAATTCACTCTCCTAGAATAGGATAGGACAGGCTTGCGGGGGGCGGGGGCACAGTGGGTGGGCAAAGAGCAAAGCTGTTTTCTGATTTCACTCCATCAATCATGTAATGTTTGAAGTAATGTCACATGGTCAAGGAGATAGTGATGGACTCTCTGAAAATGGCCAAGGCCTGGTGCCTTCCATCCTCCAAGGCGGGTCAAAGCACAGCCCCAAACTCCACCCGGGGCAGTCCTAGCCGAGAAGCCACTGGGACACCTTTTAGGTGAGTGCCAGGTGGTTTAAAGTTGGAGCCTCCATGCTGGGGTATTCTGGCATGCTTACCTCATTCCTAGTGTCAGTGGTCTTTTCTGCCTCCCACTCAGGTGTATCTGCTGTTTTAGTTTCATCTTCACCCTGCTGCTGTAGTGATTTGTCCTTCTGGGCTGACACACTTTGCTCATTTTCCTCCTGCTGGGAACTGTGACCTGTAGCTCTTAATACCTCATTCTCCTATAAAAATACCCAAAAAATGTTCTAAGTAGAAATCCATATTCCATCAAGTAAGTTGAATTTATAGCAAAGATTTGAACTGGAGGTATAAATGGGGAATACATCAACCCACGCACACAGGAACCAATGGGACTCCAGGAGAGCACAAGGCAGCAGGGGCTGAATAGTACTGCCTCCATTCGGAGACGCAGGCAACGAGTATGAGGTGACAGGAAGTGAGGTGGGGTGGGGGAGAGCCCGGGGACAGCCATGTCCAGGGGTCCAAGTGTTTCAAAAGAATGGAGTGGATGAGTGCAACGAATGCTGCTTGGAGGCTGCACAAGGATGGACAAAAGTATCCATTGGATTTGGCAATAGGAAGGCTGTTGGTGGCCTTTGAAAAATCAGTGTAGGGAGGAAGCCAAATGACACTGTGTGGAGGAGTGAATGGGAGGTGACAAGTGAAACAGTACAGTTGATTCAAGGATTTTGGCTATGAAGTGGAGAAATGGGTCAGAGTAGAGTTTTGTTTTGAAGATGAGAGACACCAGAGTACGTTCGTAAGGGGGTGACTTCGGAGAAAGGGCAACTGCAGAGCAAGGCCCACTGGAAGACAGGATGAACTCCAAAGCACCAGGGGCAGGAGTGATTTTGAAAGAAAAAACACATAGAGCCTTTATTTCAAGTGGATGCAAGATATTTGAGGATTTGGGTAGAAGATTACCTATTCTTATTTCTGAATGGTGTTTTTAAAAAGCAGAAATGGACGTTGACCAGTAAGGTGGTTTTACAATACGCCCACAAATAATTTGACACTCTTTTCTCAAGGAGCTAAAGCTTAGTCCTCCTCCTGCTGAGTGGGGGCTAGATTTAGTGAATTGCTTCTAACAGAATACGGTGGAAGTGACCTTTTTAAAATATATTTTTATTGATTTCAAAGAAGAAGGGAGAGGAAGAGAAGAGAGAGAAACATCAATGGTGAGAGAGAATCATCGATTGGCTGCCTCCCACATGCGTCCCAACAGAGGTTGAACCCCCAACCTGCTTATATGCCCTGACTGGGAATCTAACTGCCCGCCTTTTGGAGTATGGGACAACGCTCCAACCACCTGAGCCACCCAGCCAGGCCCGAGTCCTCTTAAAAATGGAGGCAGGTGGAGCTACAGGAGCCCAGAAGCCTAGTCCCAGAGCGGGAATTTGAGCTTTGTTGCCTGTCATTTCCTTTATCTCTTTGGCCCTTAGAGAGAAGCAGAAGAGACAGAAGGTGAGCCCTGGGGCGGGGCGGGTTGCTCTAGTGTTGAAGTTCTGAGAGGGCGGGCCCATTCCAGTTCCCAGGCTCCAGTGGTACAAACAAATAGCTACATAACTGATCACCCAAACCCATCCACTTCTGAGGGTAAGAAGGTGCTGGAAACAATTAAGCTGGACAACAGGCATAGGCCAAGACTGTCCCAAATGGTCACCCTGTCTCTGAGGCCACAGGGGAAAGCGGAGGCTGCATATCAACCAAGAGCCTCGATGGCAGACTGAACTCCACTGACCTGGGAAGAGAGAAACGTTCACTTGCACAGGGTTACATGGTCAATAAATATCTTGTTAGCCAGTCCTTCACTTAGTCACTCAACTATCAGTTACTGCAAGCCTATCACAAAGCTAGCAGAAACATGTGCTGCAAGCAGTGAGCAAGAGGAGGACTTCCCCAGGTGATTGTGGTGCACAGGAGGGGCAGTGGCAGCTGCTGGGGACCTGTGCGGGGACCACTTCCAGCTGTGCCTTCGCAGAGGCCTCAACTGCTGAGAGCGACTTCACCTAAGGCCACACCCTTCCCGGGCACTCAGATCCCTCCCTCAACTGGACAGAGAGGGTACAGAGGCCTGGCCACCTGGCCCAGCGTGGGACAATCGTGTTGTGGGCCACTTTAGCCCTCAAGCTCCTGGTTTCGTTACCGGCATCATAGCTTGGCTTCTGCATCGGGTCAATCCCACTTTCATTCCTCTCCTCCACAGCGGTAGCTGCCTAGGTACTTCCTTATAAACATTCTGCCCCCTCAGTTCAGTCTCAGCATCCCCTTTCCAATTTACAACAGCGGGGAGAGAGGAGAGGCCAGGACCTCAAGGCGGAGGGGTGGAGGATCCACATTATATCCGTTTAGAAAGTGAAAAAGGACTATCATGCCCGTAACATAATTGGCAGAGTCTGCAAACCCCACCAAAGCCTTGTGGCTAGGAGGGCGCAGGCCCCAAAACTGCTGTTAAAAAGGCTCATCCTACTCTTACCAGCTGTGTGACTGCGGGCCACTTCGACCCTCAGTTTCCTTGTCCGTGAAAAGATATTTTCTAATTCACATTTTAAGAAATTAGTTGAGAAAAAGCACGTTTTACATTTTAAGCTGCTAGAGAGACATTACTGCTCCTTTCAACTGCTTTTTGATTCTGAAGAGTTGGCATTAACGCCTAACTGCTGGCAACTCAATCAGAATGTGAAGAGAAAGCGAAGCCAGCCACAGTGGCCAGTAATTACTGTTCTCTTTTCCTGTTTTTCTCAACTCAGTGACATGGGGCTGAGACAGAGCGTATGTGTTTTACGAGTACACTGCAGAGCTATGGTCCATGCTCTTAATTTAAAGACTGGGTACATGAAACCCATCATTAACCTACTTTTTATTTGTATGTAGGTGATACTTACTCTTGTGAGGCTGGGACTCAATAAAAATAAAAAATAAAAAAGAAAGTTTCCACGCTTGCCATAGGAAGCCATCGTAAACCTGAGCTGGGGGTCGAATACAACGAGAAATCCAGTGACTTGTTCTGAACCGGCCCCTGCTGGAACGGCCGCCCCCCATGGCGCTCTGCCAGGAAGACCCCATCTCACCCTCCACACGGATCCACAGCCTCAGCGTGGGCCCCTTGGCTAGAACCGGGTTCTCCTGTGTCTAAAATCCCACAGCCCCGCTCATGACACTTCTCCTATTCTATCTAAAACTACAACTATCTGGATCGTTTCTTTCCTACTGCGCTGTGAAGATATGACGCGTGTCTTCCAGCTGTTAGATCCCCTTTGCCACTGATGTAAGCCCATGGGAAGGCTTGCCGAGTTGATGAAGGCAGTGGGGAGGGCAAGAGGGAGCCA